CGACCATAAAAAAAGAAAAAAGAAAATTTATCAAATACTTAACTTTTTTTTTTTTTTTTTTTTTTTTTTTTTTTTTTCTAATGATATTGTTATCATATATAACTCATTATTCATTCGTCAATCAAATAAATAAACTGTACTATTTTAATTTAACCATAAATTAATTATTTATAGGTAAAATATGTATATAAGAGAGAATTACATTTTTGAACGAATTTATTAGTAATTCATGTTATTAATATAATATTATTGGATATAACCCGATATTGAGTCTTATAAACTCTTTTCAGCTTTTAAGCATCATGTATTAGAATTAAGACACTATTTAAACTAAAACCACAGGTAATTATTTTGAGCAAAAAATTGGATTAAGATAAAGATAGCATCAAGTGTGGTCCTTTTGCAAGTGTATCTGGTTTGATATTTGTATTTGTATAAATTCAGATAATGAAAACTCATATAATCTATACAAAGAGACAAAGACAGTTGATCAGTTAATATCAAAATCATAATTCTTGCTGAGACAATCCTAACCCTAATCCTAATCCTAATCCAAAACCTAGTTAGTAAAAACGCGTATTAGACGCGAATTATACGGACAACTGTATAATTCGTGTATAAAACGTACGTATACGTATTTTATAAAATCTATCGTATAATTTTCGTATAATAAAGCTTCTTGTATAATTCACGAATTATTCGAGAATAAATCGCGAACTATTGAAAAAAAAACAAAATCTCACCCTCAAAACGATGTCGTTTTAGTGGGTTTTTTACTAAAATTTAAAACAGATCACAAAACCTCCTCTTTTTCGCTCAAATTGGAAACCCAAAACAGTTGACAAACTCCCACAAATTTCCACAAGTAATCAACTTCCACAATCAACACACAACAATCAACTCCAACAAACAAGCTATCAACTCCCACAACCGACTCTAACAAACAAATTTTCATAAGACAGAAGAAAAGGGAGAGAAGCGAAGGGAAAAGAAACAAAATAGACATAAGTTTATACAAAAGAGACGAAGGTTTAAGAAGGAAGCGAAGAGAAGGCAGAGAAATCAAAGAGACAAAAGAGATGAAACTTACACAAAAAAGAGAAAACAAAGAAGAAAGTTTTGAAAAGAAGAAAGAGAGAAGAAAGTTTTGAAAAAAACGAGAAAATGAAAGAGAAGAGAAAGGAGAGAGAAAATTTAATAAAATATATAGTTTTACTTTTAGTTGGTAGTTTGTAATTTTTGTAAATTGACTATGTGTGTATTTGTAATTTTTGTAAATAATTAGTTTTGTTATAACTGTGTTTGATTTGAGATTATAGTTAAATTTTGATTAAATATTATGTTTGAGTTTGGAGATTATAATTTTGAATATCAGTTATATTTATATATTGTGTATTTGTGTTATTGGTTAATTGAATACTTTATATTTGAAATGTTATATTGATTTTAACCAGGTAGTCCATAAAAATATTAAAACTAAGATTGATATTGCTGTATTTTTCAAAACGTATTAGTAATAATGTACTATATTAAACCCGTATATGCCCGTTCTATATTTTTCCCGTATCTAAATTTTATGACCAAATTTTTATAAACGTATTTTTTACTGTTTATCATATTATACTCATAAAATTTTCCTACCCTTTTTTTACCGTACCCATATTTCATATTTACTAATTAGGATCTAAAATATCTTTATCCATTAAAATAATATATTAATATCATACTCTAATAATACATTGCCAAAATACAGCCACAGTCAAAACTAGAGCCAGTAATGACTGAGCCAAGCAAGGAAGCAGTGTGTGTGACTGGAGCCAACGGGTTCATTGGCTCATGGCTGGTCCAGACCCTTTTGACCACCGGCTACACTACTATTCAAGCCACCATCTACCCTGGCTCTGACCCATCTCATCTCTTTACTCTCCAAGCTGCCTCCAAAGCCAACCTCAAAGTCTTCGAGGCTGACATTCTGGATGACGTGGCAGTTTCAAGGGCAGTGGAGGGCTGCACGGGGGTCTTCCACGTGGCATCTCCTTGAGCCAAAAAATTGATTAAGATAGCATCAAGTGTCCTTTTGCAAGTGTACTGGTTTGATATTGTTATTTGATAAATTCAGATAATGAAAACTCATATAATCTTACAAGAGACAAAGACAGTTGATCAGTTAATATCAAATCATAATTCTCGCTAGACAATCCTAATCCCTAATCCAAATATCCTATCCATATTAGTAAAAACGCGTATTAACGCGAATTATAATTTGATTATTTATATCACTTAATCGATTTTCTTTAAATTAAATTAGTTCTTTTACATCTATATTAAACATATATGATGTAGAATGTTTACGTCTATATTAAACATATATGGTGTACAATTAGTTCAATGGACCATGACCATGATTATATTTTAATTAAATTAGTTCTTTTACATCTATATTAAACATGATCCATAAACTTTGAAAAGAAATATTGAAGTAAATTACCCTTAATTGCTTAAGCGATATAAGGTGTCGCTTAAGCGATCCCGTCTATTTAGCCTTGGTTGCTTAAGCGATATGGAGATCCTGTATATTTAGCCTTAGTTGCTTAAGCAATAATAAATCGCTTAAGTGATTTTGTCAAAGGCAGAATAAAGGTCATCCGAGTACAGTGGATCGTTTAAGCGATCCTAGGTCTCTCTTAAGCGATCCAATATGTTCAGAATTAGTTGCTTAAGCGATCACGTCCAATCGCTTAAGTGATTACGTACAAGCGAGGATCAGGATCACTTAAGCGACGCTTCACTTTTACCCTTGGTCATGTAAAAGGCAGAATCAATAAGTGTCCAGATGCACGATCACTTAAGCAATTTACTTTGTCGCTTAAGCGATTTACGCTTTTACCCTTGGTCGCTTAGGCGATATAAAATCGCTTAAGCGATCAAGTCCGATGCAGAATCAAGATTTGCCCAGATGCACAATCGCTTAAGTGATTTATGGTCTCGCTTCGCTTAAATGATCTACGATCACTTAAGCGATCAAGTCTGAGGCATAATCAAGATCTGCCCAGTTGCACGATCGCTTAAGCGATTTACGATCTCGCTTAGGCAATTCTTCGCTTTTACCCTTGGTCGCTTAATCGATTATAGCTATTAAGTCCGAGGCAGAATCAATATCTACCTAGATGCACAATCGCTTAAGCAATTTATGTTATCGCTTAAGCGATTATTTGCTTTTACCCTTGGTCGCTTAAGCGATACAAAATCGGTTAAGCAATCAAGTCCATGACAGTATAAACATTTGTCCAGATGCACCATCACTTAAGCGATTTATTTTCTTGCTTAAGCGATCCTTTATGAAAAACCTTTTGTCGCTTAAGCGATATATGTAGTCGCTTATATATCGCTTAAGCGATCATGGGCAATAAATATTTTTTTCCAGCTTTTCTCCTGAATTTTAACAAACTAAAATCACCAAAACATATTAATTCCATACTTTCTCTTGAATTTGACAACCTAATTGCATCAACATATTAACGCCATGTAACAAGAATACTAAATATAATTGATGATTTATTCAAGGTAACAATAAAATTTAAAACATAAAAAATTGAAAACAACAACTCTTCAACAGTTGGCCTTGGCAACTCTCTCGATTTCATTCTTCTTCGAACCTAATTTTCTAAATCTACATGTGATTGATTCTGGCAACTGCTTCTTTTGTGGCCAGATTGCTTGCAAATTGAGCACTTATTCATCCTCCAGGGAACCTCAGAGGCTGATAGAATACGCTTAACTCTTTTTGTCTCATTTTCTGTCTTCTTGAATGGCAAATGTATGATAATGTCAGCCAACTCTAGCGGCACCACCCACTGCTCTTCCGGAGGAACTGAATATATTGTTTCTGAATAAGTCAGCATGTAGTGATTTGCCATATAGAGAGGGGAGCAAAGTTCTATGTAAATTCTTGAACCAAAATCTGGCTTCTGTTAGTGTTTTAGTGCTGCTAATGCATGAGGACAAGGTAAACGTTGAATGTCAAGTACTTTACAACTGCAAGTTTTACTAACAAGGTTAACTAGGGCATCTAGACCATTGTCGCACACGGTGAACTCTTGAACATTAAGAGGATAGGCAAACAATGTATTTAACAGTTACATACGTTCTCGTAATAATTTTTCAGCTGATGGAACAAGGGTTGTAGCAAAATTATCTGATTTTGTATGACTCTCATGGAACCACTGTAACAATGTCCTTTGGATTGCATCAAAAAGGGTAACTATTGGAAACTCTCTTTCTATTAACAACTTCGAATTTATAGATTTGACTATGTTCGTGGTCATGACATCAAACATTGTTTCAGGAAAGTAAGCTCTACTCCATCGCTCGAAACCAACATCATGCTCAAGATACTTAGCAATTCTATCATCCTTGATTCGAATTTGCCGGAACTGTTCCTCTAACTCATCAATTCGATAAGCTTTTGTTGTCATGTACGTAGTATGTCTGAAGGAGGCCGATACACTTAAACTTTTGTTTTATGTTCTCACCAAGGTGTCTCGTACATAATGATATAACCCTGATATTGATCTTATTAAACTTTTTTTTTTTGAAAGAATTTTATTAGTAATTCATGTTATTAATATAATATTATTGGATATAACCCCGATATTGATCTTATTAAACTCTTTTCAGCTTTTAAGCATCATGTATTAGAATTAAGACCCTATTTAAACTAAAACCATAGGTAATTATTTTGAGCAAAAAATTGGATTAAGATAGCATCATGATCCTTTTGCAAGTGTATCTGGTTTGATATTTGTATTTGGATAAATTCAGATAATGAAAACTCATCTAATCTATACTAAGAGACAAAGACAGTTCATCAGTTAATATCAAAATCATAATTCTCACGTAAGACAATCCTAATCCTAATCCAAAATATCTTTATCCATTAAAATAATATATTAATATCACTAATAGTCTAATAATACATTGCCAAAATACAGCCAGAGCCAAAACTAGAGCCAGTAATGGCTGAGCCAAGCAAGGAAGCAGTGTGTGTGACTGGAGCCAACGGGTTCATCGGCTCATGGCTGGTCCAGACCCTTTTGACCACCGGCTACACTACCATTCACGCCACCATCTACCCTGGCTCTGACCCATCTCATCTCTTTACTCTCCAAGCTGCTTCCAAAGCCAACCTCAAAGTCTTCGAGGCTGACATTCTAGATGACGTGGCAGTTTCAAGGGCAGTGGAGGGCTGCACGGGGGTCTTCCACGTGGCATCTCCTTGTACCTTGGAAGATCCCCAGGATCCACAAAAGGAACTTGTGTTGCCTGCTGTACAAGGTACTCTTAATGTGTTGGAGGCTGCTAAGAAGTTCAAGGTGAGGCGTGTGGTGCTCACGAGCTCTATTTCTGCTCTTGTGCCTAACCCCGGTTGGCCTCAAGATAAAGTGTTTGATGAGACTTCGTGGACTGACCTTGATTATTGCAAGTCTCGTCAGGTATTCTTACAAACTGGGTAACCGTTTCTTTAATTGATTTTGGCTTAAAGTTGTGTTTTTTTTCAATGAATACTGGATAAAGTTTTGATTTTTATCTGTTTTAGTACGAGATTGCTGATTATCTTTTGATTGATCTAGTATTTAATTTAATTCTTGCTCTGTGAGATTATTGAAAGAAGTAAAGTTCTCTTTTTTTTTTTTTTTAATGGAGTAATGGTTAAAGTTCTGATTTTTATATTTTTGAAATGAGATAGCTGATTATGATTTGTTTTGGCTTGGTAGAAGTTCAAATGGGAATTCAATAGCAATGTATCACTTTTCTAAGCTTCTATGCTTTTGGTTTAGTGGTTACTTAAAATGATAACTCGGACCTGTCATTTGTCTTAATGTGCATCTGCATTGTATATTGGTGTCTCTGTTGTTTTGGTCTTCGTTAAGAAACGTTATACCATGTATATACTTCTTTGTGTGATTAAAACTACCCTGTCGGATTATAAGCTCCACTTTGTGAGGGTGTTTTATGCATGAACTGAGGTTGGCTTTGTGCTGCATTTGTTTTAATGTTGTTTGGCTATGGCAGAAATGGTATCCAGTGTCAAAGACATTGGCAGAGAAAGCAGCATGGGAATTTGCTGAGAAGAATGGGATTGATGTTGTGGCTATCCACCCAGCTACATGTCTAGGTCCACTTCTGCAACCTTATTTGAATGCGAGCTGTGCTGTGTTACAGCAGTTGTTGCAGGGTTCAAAAGATACTCAAGAGTATCACTGGTTAGGAGCTGTGCATGTCAAAGATGTTGCAAAGGCGCAAGTGTTGCTATTTGAGTCTCCTGCTGCTTCTGGTAGATATCTTTGCACCAATGGTATCTATCAGTTTGGTGAATTTGCTGAAAGAGTCTCCAAACTCTTCCCTAAATTTCCGGTTCACAGGTTTGTATCTCGTACAACCTTATGCTATGTATCTAGGCTTGCTGTATCAAAATACAATATCCTAGTTACTTGTAATACAGACAAACAACACATGCATCCATATCTGAAAAGGTGCTATTCCCACTATATAATTTAGTGGCTGCTTGATGTGAAGTTTTGTAGTTGCCATTTCCAACTGCAAGAAAAGATCCCAATCAAATCTAATCAGAACAGCCTACATTAAAGCTGATCTGGTAACCAACGTCTATAATTTGACCTGCTAGCACTTTTAATCTATGTTTGAATTATGATAATTTAGTCATAATAGTTTTTAGATACATTCTCTGATGTACTTGGATATGGTTAATTGTTGGTGGTGGTAACCCGGGAAAAGTGTCACTAATGGCGGGAGAGATCATGAGAATAGTTGAAGCTTCATTCTTTGTTTTTAAGTCAGTGACATGGATTGGTATATATCCCTTGTCAGGGCCACATGCTTCAATTATATTGTTAACTTTTCAGATTCCTTGTCCAGAATGTTACTTTGTAGGAATTTAGGTTTGCTGCCTATTTAGTGGTCGCTTACCCTCATCATCTCTTCAACATTGAGACTATTGACAAGACCATCTTAAGCGTCTAATAGGGGAAATTAAATTTTTTTGTTCTTTTTTTGATGGTAAAACAAAAGTGGGGGAGAATTGAAAAATAATATAATTTGGAAAGCAACACTAAAGTGCTCATTTATAAAGGCCTTGGTGGAGAATTAGTCATATATTTTGAGCTTTAGATAATCTATAGATTCAAACATGGTGACCCTAGTTGGGGGTCATTATTGCACTCTATGTGGTGCATAGGTTGACAGAAATTCAAGTTTTATCACTTAAATGATCATGACTTTCTAGTGCCGCCTATCTTGTCATCTTGCTTCCTACTCTTTGTAATTGTCCTGTCATGGTGGCTCCCCTGCAGAAAGATAGGAGCTTCTTTAGTTGGAAGTTTGTTTCTTTCAAATATAATGTACCTCAAGTATTTTCACTTAATTTTTTCAACACGGTTTCTTTTTCTAGGATTTAAAGAGTCTCCCTTTATTGCTTATACGTGTCCACTTAAACTTGGTGGAGCTTTTCTTTTACTTCTGGTCCAATGGAGCTCCACTTCAGTTTTGAATGGCTATCATACAACAAAAGATTCCTCTTCAGATAATTCTGCCAGATTTTTTATTTTGTGTAGTATCGGATGCTCTCTATTTGGCCTTGTTGAACAAGCTTTACATTCTAGATGTGGTCCTGGAGTTCTTTTGAAGCTTCGATGTGTTATTATACTTTCATGATTTTTATTGATCCATCATAGTTCAGATTGATAGATCACATAAAGATACTGCTTTTTACAAAGTTAAAGAAGACAAACCTAAAGATAAATTGTTCCGTATACTATTTCTTGCTTTAATACTCATTACACGGGTATTACTTGAATACGCAAATTACTCTACACACTGTTACTGTTCGTGTCTCAAGTAATTCCTTGTTACCATTGGCTTCCTCTCTGGATTTTTGCTGCTGGTGAATAGTGAATGAGCTATAGAATGTTTAAATTTTAAACATGATGTGCATCAAATCAATGATTTTCTTCCTTTTGCTTCTTGTGGGCCTCCTTATGGTTCCAAATTGGATTAATCTTATCATTATTAATCATTGAATGTATTTTCAACTAATTTGTTGATTCATTACTTGTCATTTATCATTGTTTTGAGATGAAGTTTCATTATTTTCAAAAAAATGCTTCCATGATCTGTTGTTGTATAGATTGACATGAGAATAAATTCCTTTATATCTCAAGGAATTCAAGAGAAATGCCAGTTGCTGATGTGTGTCTCAAAGAAACAGGACAGCCTGGAGGTCTAGTTATACATGAACCAAAACATAAAGAAATAATGTATGGAGCATCTAGAAGTTATCATTGTTATTATTGGCCATTTTGAACTTTCTCATTCTTTGTTAGGACCTTTATAACTTTCTTGATTTTAATAATAATTTCTTCCTCTTTTGCCTTCAATTGCAAAGGCGTTGCGAGACTCTTCTTTTTTTCTTTATACATCTTAATTTGTATGAACATATAATTTTTGTCGAGAGAGAGGAGGGTACTTGCCCCTCCTTTGAGTTTATGCGCACACTGATATTCCTGTTCACTCTTGTAACTTTATATCGTGTAGTATTCCAAAATTTATATCCTAACTGATGTATATTTTTTTCTGGCATTTATGTGTAGGTATGTATATTTTTCTTTTGTTTCTTTTAATATGAAATCATTGTACAATGCAGATCACTGAGTTCCTTAAGAGAAATTTTTTCACCTAAAGATTTGACAACATGCTGTAAGAACTGGCTATTATTACCGGTGAGGATTAAATCATCAACGTACACCAGCACATATAGTAAAACTCCATCCTGATTAAAGATAAATAAGGAGTTGTCAGACTTGGAATTACAGAAACCCAACTCAAGAACGCTGGAGTGCAATGCATTGTACCAGGCTCTAGGCGCCTGCTTGAGACCATAAATGGATTTCTGGAGAGAACAAACATGATGAGGGTGGGACTGATCGATGAAGCCTGTAGGTTGCTGCATAAATACTTGCTCAGTTAACTGGCCATAAACAAACACGTTATTGACGTCAATTTGCTTGAGGGGCCAATTTTTTGACAGAGCCAGTGAGAGAATGAGTCGAATGGTGGTTGGTTTTATAACAAGGCTGAAAGTCTCAGCATAATCGACACCTGGGCGTTGATTGAACCCCTTTGCTACAAGACGGGCCTTAAACCGATCCATTGTACCATCTGGATGACGCTTAATCCGAAACACCCATTTAGAGTCAATTAAATTGGAAGCTGAAGGCTTAGGAACCAGTTTCCAAGTACCATGTGAGATTAATGCAGTAAATTCATCTGCCATGGCTTTACGCCACTTGGGGTCCTTGAGAGCCTAGGAGACACAAGTTGGTTCCAACGGTGGTGCAAGAGGATGCTTGGGATAGAAAATATTATTCTGAGCCCGAGTGACCATGGGATGAGTGCGAGTAGGAGGTGTAGGTGCTATGGGCAAAGGCGACTCCGAGGAAGGTGGATTACTAGTAGGAGAAGATGAGACCATACCTGGTGTAGGAGACGAAGTCACGGTTGCCGTGTCATCAGGCGCTGTAGGTGTAACAGGGTGATCATCCAATGGAACCATGCAAACCGGGGGAATAGGAGTGGGATTGGAAGAAGGAGGACACGGTGTAGCAACTGTTGTAGGAACAGAGGTAGTCGCTTTTGTGAAGGGAAAAATGTTTTCAACAAAAGTGACATGACGAGAGAGATAAATCTTACCCGTGTGAAGGTCCAGACATTGAAAAGCATGTTGAGACAGGGAGTAACCGAGAAAAACACAAGGTTGGGACTTGGGTTGAAATTTATTTGCATGATAGGGAACAAGCCAAGGGTAGCATTGACAGCCAAAGGTGCGCAACTTATGATAGTCGGGAACCCGTCCAAATAACACTTCAAAGGGACTTTGACGTGAGTGTAATTGAGTAGGAAGACGATTAATAAGGTAAACTGCTGTGGCCAAGGCATATGACCAATAAGTGGAAGGAGCCGAGGCATGATGTAAAAGGGTCATTCCCGTTTCAACGATATGGCGATGGCGACGTTCGACAATGCCATTTTGCTGGGGAGTATGCAGGGTTGTGGTGAAATGGCTAATGCCACGAGCAGCCAGAAGTGGTCTGAGTTTGATAAATTCACCACCGTTGTCGGAATAAAATTTTTTAATTTTTCCGGCGAATTGGTTTTCAACCATGGCAATAAATTGGTCAAAAATAGAAGACACATCCGACTTATTACGCATAGGATAAAACCAACAGTACTTTGTGAAATGATCAACAAGAAGTACATAATAGCGGTAGCCATCAACAGAAGGAACCGGGGATAGTCCCCAAACATCGGCATATAAATATTCAAGAGGAGCATGGCTCGTAAGGGAAGTGACACTAAAGGGCAATCGATGCGACTTATTACAATGACATGAAATACAGGACAATAAGGACTTAGAGGAGGACACATGCAAGTTATAGCTACGGAGAAGAAATGATAAAAGCTTTGGAGCAGGGTGACCCAGCCGATGATGCCAACGATCAACTGAAGTACGGGTTCCAGCTAAAGTGACAGCATGAGCTTGAGGTGAGGACCGACATAGTTCCATAGGATAAACACCACCTTCACATCTACCGCGCATGAGCACCGCTCCCGTCATCCGATCCTTCACAAGGTAAAAGGAGGGGTGAAATTCAACAATAACATTGTTATCATGAGTAAACTTGTGAACGGAGATTAAATTTTGGTGAATAAGAGGCACATGCAAAGTTTCTTTTAAAGTAAGTGAACAAGAAGGGGATGAAATGGTAGTGGAACCGATGTTAGCAACTTGCAAACCTGTACCATCTCCAAGAACAACCTTATCTTGTCCATCATATTTTGAATGAATGGAGAGATTAGCCAAATCAGACGCAATGTTATGAGAAGCAGTGGAATCAAGAAGCCATTTGCCATTCGATGGAGTTGTAGAAGTAGTGTAGTTGGCAACAGGTCGAGACTGCAGTTTGACACAATTCTTTGCAGTGTGACCGGGGTGATTGCAGATTTGGCACACAACAGAGGACTTCTTTGAAGGAGCTTTGTTGGAGAAATTTTGTTTGGGATGATTCTTCTTGTTTTTGGACCGAGGATTTGATGGCTTCTGTTGGGAGGAATTTGCAGTGACAACCAGGGTTGAAGAATTTCCGTCCATGCGTTTGAGATAGTGTTCATGACCGAGTAATAGATCATGCAACTCTGCAAAAGACAAGGCAGTTTCTCTCGTACAGATGGGAGCCACCATATCTCGAAACTCAGAGCCAAGGCCATTAAGCACATATAACGTCAAATCATCATTTGAAATAGGTGCATCAATCAACGAAAGTTCATCAGCAATTACCTTAACTGCATGAAGGAACTCAGACACCGTTAGGGAACCCCTTTGAATAAGGGTAAGATCTTCCTTCAACTGCATGATCCGGGCTCGAGATTTGCTAGCAAACAAGCGGGCGAGATGCTGCCAGGCATCACGACTTGTAGTTGCCATAGCAATAAGGGGCATAACTGCTTCAGAAACTGAAGCAAAAATGGCATTCAGCAATAACTGATCCTGTCGGTACCAGTGCGCATAGAGTGCCACAGCAGAGGTAGAAGAATCCGCAGTAGGTGGAGGAGGACGCCTAAGGGTGCCGTCCACATTTCATTAGATCATATCCAATGAGAATGGTGAGGAAAGTTGCACGCCAGGAAGGATAATTTGAGGAAGTGAGTTTGTAGGGCAATTGGCTGGAAGTGTTGATCGTAACGAGAGGAAGTGTAGATGCAGAGTTGGAGCCAGTGGGCTCTGGGGTAGGAGAGTTAACACCAGACGACATGGATTTGGAAGAGGTTTCTAGTCTCGTGGGAGAAGAATGCTTTGATACCATATAGAGATTACGCAAGTGATTTGGTAAAATTCAGAATAATACTTTGCATTACAACGAGTCTTAATATATTACAAGACTACGGCTAATTAAGGAATGTACAACCATAAACAGAGCTACAGCCATTTAAGGTAGGGGTGTTCAAAAGCGGTTAACCGAACCGGTTTTTCGGTTCGGGAAAATTCCCGAACCGAAACCGAACCGATTTGGAGGGACGGTTTTCCCTTTTTTTTTATAAAACTTATTTTTTTTATTTTTTCCTAAATTAAATTATAAATATAAATAATACATATCCAAATAAAAATTAGACATTCATATATATCTATTGACCACTACTAACAATACATTAAAAATATTATTATTTTTTATTTAATATATAATATTTATTTTTATTTAATATATAATATATATATATTTTTGTAAAACCGGTTCAAAAAATCGGTTTCGGTTAATCGCTTTTTATTTTTTTCCGAACTGGTAACCGAACAGAAATTCGGTTTTTTGAATTTTTCGAA